GGGCCTGCTTCAGACTGAAGAGACCTAACAAGCTCTTGCAATACAGGACTGGACTGGGTCCCGGTCAGCAGAGAAATGCAGGTATAAAGACACCCATGCAACCACTGGAGAAATCTGAAACTGGCCTGGATAGAAGATGACTTTACAGAATCACTGTTAAGGTTCTTAGGTAAGAGAATATAAATGTGGTCATCCTCACTTTGGGAGACACACGCTGAAGTATTTAGGGGTGAAGCGTCCTGTCTTCAACTTCCCTTAAAATGCAAACGTACGGGCTGTGTGCATAAATATATACACAGAGAAAGAGACAGAAGAACACGAACTACTAACGACTGTTGAAGCCAGGAGGAGAGTATGCGGGTGTTCGTGAACTATTCTTTCCACTTTTATGTTTGAAAATGACTGCAATAAACAATTTGAGAAAATATTTAGGAAAGCACATCCACATGAAAACCAAACAAAACCAAGACAACCGAAGACACAGAAGCCAACCTGAAGGGCTCCCAAGGGTCAAAAATTTGAGCATAAAACATGAGGACTGCAGTAAATGAAATGTTATTAAATATATACATTATCATCCAAGAATTCATTCAAAATGATATTAAATCACCAACCGCATCATTACCTTTGGGGAATCCTAGAGCACCTTTAAAATTCTGAAAGGTGGTAAATAAAGGTGTCAAACTTTTATTTTGCATTTTCTATAAAAATTATACCTGAGAGTAACAAAGAGTGGAAATCATCCATGATAGAATTACAGCCTTTAAATGCAGAAAGAATGAGGAAACTGGAACGTTATCCCTTGGCAATGACAACTGGTGGCTCTAGGGAATGAATGATGGATCAGTAGATGCTAAAACTATCAGGTGGACTGTGGACGTGGAACTTTAAAACAGATGGCTCAGGCTCACGACTTTGGACGCAATGATGCATGCTATCCCTCGTCATTTGAAGTGGAACATCCAAGCACCGTACAAGTGATGCAACAAGAAGCATAAGGTACTACTTACAAAGTACATATGCTAATAAAATACCGACTTTCCTCTAAAAGCCTCGAGGCCTGGGGCGCCTGGGTGGCGCAGTCGGTTAAGCGTCCGACTTCAGCCAGGTCACGATCTCGCGGTCCGTGAGTTCGAGCCCCGCGTCAGGCTCTGGGCTGATGGCTCAGAGCCTGGAGCCTGTTTCCGATTCTGTGTCTCCGTCTCTCTCTGCCCCTCCCCCATTCATGCTCTGTCTCTCTCTGTCCCCAAAAAAATAAAAAGTTGAAAAAAAAAAAAATTTTTTTTAAAAGCCTCGAGGCCTAACTATGAGTTCACAGGAAACATGGGAAATAGGATGAATATGGTAAATATCACCACAAGGATGCAAAGAGAAATCTCAGCTATGAGAACATATTCAAACAGGCCAACTGTTTCTTCAACTAAATGCATGGAGAATAAAAACAGGACCAAGGAGGACATACCTGTGATTAAGAGAATTAAGAGACACGCCACCTAACGGCAGCGTGCAGATCCAGTTGGGACCCTAATATGAACTAACCAACTGCCAAAATACATATTTGAGACAACTGGGAAAATGTGAATACATATTTGCTGGCTGTGATATGGCCCCATGATTTTAGATTTTAGTTAGATGTACATAGTGAAATAATTACATTACAGGTGAAATGACAGGATGCCCAGACTTGTCCATAATGAGGCAGGGAGAGGGGTAGTGAAACAAGACTGGAAAAATAAAAAGTAATACAGCTGGATGGGTGACAGGAATAAGGGAATTCAGGGCTCCTTATGCTATTTTCTCTAATGCTTTATGTACTTGAAATTTTCCATAAGAAAAAATTAAAAAACAGAACCAAACCTGGAAAACTTAGAAGTCTCTGGTGACTTCCTACTGCTCTTAAATCCTTACCCTGGTCCGTGGCTCGGCAGGCTCTGGCCCTTTTCTGCCTCATCTCTGGTCGCTCTGCTCCCGCTGCCCTCCGCTAGAAGGGCCCTCACCCCTTTCTCTGCCCGCCCCTCCGGCTTCTCTTCTAGGGCCCAGCCTTTATGACGTGCCCGCCCTTAGAGAAGCCTCTGCCAGTTCTCCAAACTCGTGCCGTGTACGTTTCCTTTTGACGCACACTTATCACGCTGGTCATTATTGGCTCAATGCCCGTTTCCTCCACTAGGCTGAGCTTCAGGAGGGCACGGACCACATCTGTTTTATTCACAAGCGCCTGGCCTAGTGCCGAGCGGCTGCTGAATAAAAAGTCTCCACTCGTGAGTAGCTGGAGTTCCTGAGAAAGTAACAAAGGACCCTTGGCCACGTTTGTTCCCAATATGGGTATGAAGCGGGGCACCCAAGAAGAAATGCGAAAACAGGTCACGGACACCTGCCTCAGGAAAAGCACTTCGATCTCTACCCAGGATGTAAGAGTTCAAGAGTCTCACAGATAAATGCTTGGTGTGAAGTGGCGTCACTGAACCAGACAGAACCATGTTCCTGAGGAGGACAGGAGATGGGAAAGGGACTGTCCGTCTGTGTACTCATGAATGAATTTACAGCAAAAGCTCCGACGCACACATATCAATGATCAACCACAGTACCTGGAGTGACTCCGGCTCCTGGAATAGGACCTGCGGCGTCTGGAACCGGGCTTGTCTTCGACTAATCTGATTTTTCTGCCATTGACTTCAGTTCCATCTAACTTTTCCAAAGCTCTTTTCATGTCGGAGTAAGACACAAATTCAATCACCCCTTCATTTTTACGGCCCTTGTGAGCATCTGCATAGGTCACTTCTCCCGCCTGACGCATATAATCCTAAAGAAACAAAACATCCCAAACAAGGTCATGATACATTTTGTGAAGATATCTAATGCGATTACAATTAAAGTTTTCCCTTTCCTTTGGGAAGAAAAGCTCATTTTTTTTTTTTGAATGAAGTTTACTCTTAAAACAAAACGAAGTTTACTCTTACAATATTTCCATCTACATACCAACCCATTTATTAAGGTTCTTTTCTTTCTCAAAAGAGAACGAGCGAGCGTGTGCACGCAAGCAAGCGG